AAAGCCATTTGAAGAGTAGATAACAATCCACTTAAAGGGTAGATAATGAAGTCATTTGAGGAGTAGGTGATGAAGGAACATAATGTTGTCTAGGAGATGACATTGATTATGAAAATGCGTAATTAGGCATGTCAGGCTGTATGAAAAAAATGTCAGTTGAAGAGCGGGTTTATAAACTACATAAAAAAGTGCAATCGATAATGCCATTTTAGTATAAGGGACAACACCGATTGAGAGGAAGCTTTGGAGTTGTGTAAAGAGTGTAGATGATGAAGAAACACCATTGATGTCCTTTAGAGTTTGATGGTGGAGTATTTTGATGCCTTGCTACCCTTGTCATTATTTTGGATGTGTAGGGTGAAATAGATTTAAGCTTGCTACTATTTTTATTTTACTTGATAAATTCACACTTAAAATGAATTTTTTTAACACTTTTGTTCGAAGTTGATGTGTATATATGGCTCACTCTAAGGAAAATCATAAGGGTTGGACACCTGTATTAAGAAATCATATTCTAAATGTGAATTTTCTTGGGGAGTGTAGCATTACTGAGAAAGGAAAATAAAAAGCAATGCTTCTTGCACCCAAAAAGTAAACATATTGTAAACAATTTTTCTTATGTTAGCTGCTATATATAAGAGGAGTTTTCATATAAGGAGGTCGTGGGCAAAACCTTTTTTTTTTATTGGGTAACATATTAAGTAGAGAGAGTGTTGCAAATGTGACTGATTGGATATAAATAGTATTTTTCTGAAGAAAATTGTTTGAAATATCAAAAACGTTGACATAGAAGTTCCCAAAGCAGATTTGGTTGAAGGAGAGAGAATTTGAAATTGAAGTTGGGCCCAAAAGTATCATGATATTTCATTGTCCGCATAAATGTTCTTGGCATTCTGTCATTTTTAATTCAGCAACTATTCTACTTACATGGCTTCTAATTATCATGATATTTCATTGTTTCTATTTTATCCCAGAATTGTTATTGGGAGAAATTCTTAATTGAGATAAAACTTTCTTCATCCTTTGATTTTTCAATAAAACTAGGACAATCCTATTTTCTGAGGCTCAATGCTATAATATTGATCCAACAAAAAAAAAGTACTATGTAGATCTACCATTGGCAAACTGGGATGTCAACGGTGAATTTGAACTAGATTATGACTATTTGCTGATTTCTCTTGGAGCTAGGCCAAAAACATTCAATACTCCTGGTGTCTCTGAGCACTGTCACTTTCTGAAGGTATATTGTTTGTCTAACTATAGGAAATAGGTCTACTATTTCCTCAATGTTGAGGCTAATTTAAAAAGAACTATTGAGGTGGGATTCTACAATGAAAAGTACAACTAATACATCACAATTGGGTTAATGTTATCATATGTCTGGAGTATCCCAAACAAAGCTTTTATTTTTAGTTGAAAGTTAATTACACCGGCTTTTAAAATTCAACAAAAAAAGGAATATCAAACTTTAATAAGAAGTATAAATGTTTGGAAAGAAATTAAAGATGCTCAGAGAATCCGTAGAAGTGTGATGAATTGCTTTGAGAGAGCAAGCCTGCCAAACCTTAGTGAAGAAGAGAGGAAGAAGAGTCTTCATTTTGTGGTAATTAGTGGTGGTCCAACTGGTGTTGAATTTTTTGCAAAGCTTCATGACTTTGTACAAGAAGATTTGTCTAAGTTGTACCATAATGCTCTAGAATTGGTAAAGATATCATTGATTGAAGCAGGAGAACATATCTTGACTATGTAAGTGGAAGCTCTTATTTTAATCTATAATCTACTCCCATTAATTTTCAATTTTTTGTATAACTCTCAATCATTATATAAGAGGAGAAGCCAACTAAAATTTTTCTTAGTTGCTATGTCTTGTGCATTATTTTTCTATAGTTATGGTGGGTTTCTAGATTATGCTGCTAATTATGTTTCCTTGAGTAGGTTTGACAAGAAGATCACTCAATTTACTGAAGAAAAGTTCCAGTGGGATGGCATCGATGTAAAAACAAACATCAAAGTTGTAAAAGTGCATGGTGATTCTATTACAATGACAAACTCATCTACGGGAGAAGTTAATATACCATATGGAATGGCTATTTGGTCTACTGGCTTTGGTACACGTCTCATAATTTTGGGTTTTATGAAGCAAATTGATCAGGTAATTTCTATTGAGGCCATCCTCTGAACTCATCTTGAGATAGTTTTTGGAGATTATTATATGGGCATTCCTTAGAAAAAATATTTTATCGCTTGTTACTTTTTGTTTGCAGGGTAACATGCGTGTCTTGGAAACTGTCGAATGGCTTAGAGTCCTTGGGTGTGAGAATATATACGCTCTTGGAGATTTTTCCATAATATCTCAACAAAAAGTTATGGTATGTTTCATGTCTTCAACTAAAACATCATTTTCATAGTTTGTAGTCAATTTTTAGAGTGAAAATTAGGTCAAGGCTAATGATAGCCTTTTTTTCACTTATTTGTATCAGGCATAAATTTTATTAGGAAACTGAACAGCTATATATGTATATTAAAATGACTGCAACAGGACTCAATGAAAAAAAATGACATTTCTTTATTAGATTTAAATGAGAATTTGACATCCAACAGGACTCAATGAAGAAAAATGACTCATGTAGCTAACCCCACGTAGTGGGTTACAGGCTTGTTATTAATGTTGGTGGTGGTGGTCAAGTACTCGTGCCTTTTTATGGGATATATCCTCGTTCTGCCTTCATGTCAAATTTATCATATTCCTTAGCATCCATAAAAGCCATTTGAAAGATTGAGTAGTTTTTGTTTTCGATTTAAATTGTCCTGAGTTATAGTTCTTTTAACTTAACTAGACTCATCTCTTATTTATGAACACTTTTCACTCCAATATGGTAACTAGCCAATCCTTGATACATCCTTGCCCAAAGCTTCTCATTTACTTAGTTTTACATCCGGTAATTATTTTTGAAGTTTTGAACTCCATAATTATTTGAAATTTAATCGATTTTTATAATGAAATTGATTTAATTCAATTTAAGGGTGAATCTTTTGAAATTAATTCTATTCAACTTGAAACATTACTTGATAATGTATAAATCTTCATCTATATTTGTTTCCCTTGATTAGTTTTTGTTGATATAACAATTCTTCCATTGGCTAAAGATCATAGTTAAATTTGATTTTCTGTATGATTTTTCTCTATGTTAATACTCTAATCTCTTAAAACATCAAGGGACTCAACATCACTAAGTCGTCAAAATTTAAAAAATGTAAGTGACCTCTTCAAAACAAATGTTTTGCTATAAAGTAGCTCTACTAATTTAAAATGTGTGCTTTTGATAGGAAATAATTTAGTTCACAAGTAACCCTAAGGGAATACTTGAGTTCGCAAGCAAACTTCTCACTAATTGGAAGAAAACAGGAGAATAGAGTAAAATCTGGGCGAAATCAAGCCCAAAATGATATATTACAATAATCGAAACAAAGAAAAACACACACGGAGCAAGTTATAAGTGATCCCCAATTTGAGAGGAGGATCGTCTCTCCCAAATCTCTAGATGAGAGAGTGTAGAGCCCAAGCACCAATAAACTCTAATTCACAATCAATCAAAACATGAAAACTCCATAATTCTCTCATGCACTTTAATACAAAATATTTCCTAATTAATTTTCTTTTCTAAAGCTTAAGCCGCCCCACCCCTTTCCCTTTTTAAAACTATTTGATGCATAGGACCCACCTAATAGGTGGAAAAGGGATGAAGGAGGTGGACTACTACAGCCTCCTGTAGAATTGCTAAACCGGGTGTGCTAGTTCAGCCAGCACAGGAGTAACATTACCACCCTCCCAAAGAACTACCTTGTAATAAAGGTGAAAATCTGGAAACTGCTATTTAATTTGTCTACCACATTGCTTCATAGTTAGGAAGGTTATTCCACTGGATCAACACTTACTTAGCTCCATCATCTTTTTGGCGCACTCCCATCAGCGGTTCCAGAGTCACCTTTAAATCCTCAGTAAGCGTCGCAGGTAACTCGGGGTTGGCTGTGTTGTCACCACTAGAATTCCTCAACTTAGAGACATGAAAAACTGGGTGTATCATCTCCGATTGTGGTAATTTCAATCGATATGACACTGCCCCATTCTTCTCCAATACTTCATAAGTCCCATAGTACCGTGGGGACAGCTTTTCATTCATCCTGTGGGCGATTGTCCTCTCCCTATATGGTCGGAGTTTCATGAACACCTTTTCCCCCTCTTCAAACTAGATGTCCTTCCTAAG